TCTTAGTTCATTGAAAAGGTTTGTGCTAAAATTGCTTGGACAATTAAATGTCTATATCTTGTATGCAGAGTAATTAATTTAAAGATAACAATATACACAATGTATTAATTATCGTTACTGTCCTATTGTTTTGAAATTTTGTTTTTTTTCTTTACAATAAAATAAAAAAATAAAATCATTAGCATTTGTAATTATCATTCTGGAATAACACACAATGAACAACTTCTGCTCTCTTTTGTATGGGGTCTGTCCATGCTATGAATGTCACTAGATTTTCATCTCTTTTTGATTCCTTAAATCATTAAACACTTACCTACCTACATAACAATAATCCTTTGCCTCATTAGACATTTAAAAAAAATGTTATGAATACATGTCTGCAGTACATGCACTTTACATGCACTCAGGAGTAGGTGAATGTACCGATGTTTGCAACATATAATGATTAAATTCACTGTGGGTATTTGGTACATGACGCCTCTTAAATTCATTTATGCCCCCCAATTTCAGTTTCTTGGACCTCTTTCCCATTATAGGAAAGATCTATGTCCCTAATTCCTTTCATCAATCTTTTATTTTACTCTTTATGTGGACTTTGCATTACTCAAATGAGATGAACCATATGGTAGTTAAGCTTGTGTGACTGGTTTATTTCACTTAATATTATGTTTTCAAGGTATATCTATTTACCAGCAAAACTGACAGACACTGCTTAGGCTTGCTAGACTTGAGGGCTGAAAGTTAAGAAGTCCAATTCTAAAAATCCAATTTGATGATAGCCCACTACTTATGTGCTCATCCCAATTTTCAATCCAGAGACTAATGTACACAAGAATTCCGTGCTGCAGAGGTAAGGTGTTAGCCATTATTCAATTATAGTAGTTTCTGAAAATTCAAGTAAGCCAATCCTAAGATTCAGGATCCTTATAAGCAACTGGATAAAACAATGTATATTTGGGTTATTCCCAGAATTACAATACAATGATGAGGTTCTGAGGCATTTAAAATTTTGTAAGTTTCTTAAGGGCAAAAATGTTTAAATCTGTCATGCAGGTCGCATTGTTGTCCCACTACAAAGCAGTTTCAGCGCAGCTGATCAAGCTCTCTGCCGAGCTGCTGGAATGAGGAAAGAAAGGAGACATTGTTTGAAAATCTGAGACCAAAGGTTTCACTCTCCAATTTGTTTGTTTTCAGGTTCCACAAAGGCAATAAAATAGCAGCTTTCCTCAGTGAACGGAGACTAAGCTATTTTTTCTACTGAAAGTCCTTTCCCGTTTATCCATTATTCTGGAATCATTAAATTCAACAGCCATACGTAGGAAGAAAACAATTAGGCTAAAGCAGATAGTACACGAGGAAAAAAATCAAAAGGATGTGACTTCGAACTGTCAATAAGCACCCTGTTTCTCCAGCTTCAATTTGATTTTGGGCTCTCATAGCATAATTACCTTTCAAGTCGTTACATGGCACCTGCACATTATTCCCACGCCCAGGCCAAAATGAACAACTTTCAGATCTTCAAATCCTTCAGTTTTCTCGTTAGTCCAAGCCTTAGGATATGCAATCTTCCTACCTTTTTCACTTTGTTCTTCCTCAGAGTAATCCCATGTTATTTCGTCTAACACCCTAAATTACGCAAACTCCCCTTACAGTGCGCACTCAAATCTATAACCCTTGTAACCCTCATTCACTGCCCTAATTACTTCTTTTACCAAGTTGTTCCCCTAACTTCAGCTGCAAGACATCTGCGGTATCTAGAACAGTGACTCACAAATGCTACTTGTCCATAATGATTTTCCTAAAGACTAAATTCCACAAACTGACTTAGGAATCGGGACACAAACCAGAATCTGCACTTACTCTGCTAGTCTCGCCACTCACCCAGTTCAACGCCAGGCGCTGTCCACAAGCTGGTTTCCCTCACTGAAATGCTGATCTCTCTGTGCTCTCCTGTGTCAGATCAGCGTCGCGATCGGACGTTTTATTTCCATGTCCCTCCTCCAGATTTCACAATTACACCTCTTCCCACACACTTAGCCTGCCACGAGGGCTAGGTCTTCACAAGACGGGGCCTTCGGCTATTCCCGATCTCGCCCAGTTCTTCTCCGTTCCTGCAGCACCTACAGCAACAAGTGCGCTACGTTGGGCTCTAAGATGTGGAAGTCGGGAAGGAAAGGGCGGTGATTTAGGTGGTCTCTTGGTCCTTACCAGCGTCTGCAACCTCTCGTTTTAATAACCGATCTCTTCGCATATGTGAGTAGTTTTAAACCGACTGCAGCACAGAAAAAATGTAAATCCACAACGAAAGCACCCAAACAAAAGCACCCGTACCAAGGCTGCTGCTCATTTTCTGCGAAGTCGTCCGCATTACATACATGAGAGAGAACATGTTTCAGAGAACACACAGGTAAGAAGCCTACAGATCCCGGGGGCATTACCTAAGCGAGCACAGAGGGCTCGAGGGATCCCGGGTTCAACGAGCGTGCTCGAGAGGCGACTCTTCGCCTCGGACCCCCGGCCCGGGCGCCCCTCGCCAGAAGAGGGCAGTGCGCCTGCGCGAGAGCTTCGCGGGGAGCCGGCGGCGCACACAGGCGGCTCTGCGCTCGGAATTCGCGCGGGACACGCTAGCGCCCAGTCCACAGCGACATTCCGGGATTCCGTTGCTAAGGACCTAGCCCACCCGGCGGCCAGCCCTCGCTAGCGCCGAGCCGCGGAGCGTTCGCGCGACTTCCGCCCTCCCACCGCCCGAGCAGCCGGCGCTCGGCTCCGCCCCCTGGCGCGTGCGCCCTCGCTCACCTACGGCCCGGGCCCGGAAGCCCCGCCCCCTACGCCGGACGCCCCTTTCCCGCGCTGCGGCGAGGAGGCGCACCCTCTTGTGGAAGCCTCGCTGACCCTAGCTCCTAGTGTCTGCGCTGCTTGCTTCCACTGTTCCCTTCCGCCGTGGTTTTCACACTGAGGAGGAGGCTGCTGGGTCCCTCTTTCCCTGTGCTGCGGTAATCCTGGGAAGAAGGGCAGGGAAGCCAGTTTAGGGCGAGAAAAAAACCTTTTTTGGCTATCAGTGTTACTGAGGGGAGAATGGGTATTTTATGATTTTTTAAAAAAATGTAGTATTCCGTATATATCCAGAATGTGTTGTGGTCTTTTGTAAGGCCCAGGGAGCCTAAAATCCTGGGCCAATATGAGTTTTATGCCCTATCAGTACAGGCTCTGAAGACAGAGATAAAGGAGAGGTGCTTTGCACCGGGATTGGACCCCTCTGCCGTACGAACTGAGATTAGGTTTTCAGGGAGCTGCTGTCAGCTGTGAATACATCTGGACATTAGCTGAGGTGCTGCAAACATTTTATCCAGTAACTCCCGATAGTAGGGAGGAAAAGCTGAATTTATTCTGAGTCTTGCAAAGGTAACTTGCTTTTTAAAGGAGGAGGGCGGAAGAAATGTAGGTGGTCAGTTGTCTGAGAAGTAAAAAAGTAGGAGGGGATGGCCAGTGTAGTTGTGATGAGCCGGGCAGTTTTTGTTGTCCTTCAAAAACTGGAAGACAAACCAGAGTCTTCTTGATTGTAATCCAGAGGTATAGCTCTCAGGTAGTTAAAGTTCTGAGTTGCAAAAGACATATAAACCCATCCTAATAACTGAGCCTTTCGTCCGTTTTGTGTTGGTTAACACAATGAGTTGAGCTTGCTCAGGCAGCCGTTGGTGAGTGGGGTCATGCTAGGTACGTGGCCTCATCCTGCTGGAAGCATGCTGGAGTTTGGTCAGGACACAGGGCAGGGATTTGGATGGAGTAACCTGTCCTCAGAAGTCTGTGGTTGTCAAAGATAAAAGTTTGAGTCAGTACAGACATACCTCCTTTAATGACCTACTTCCATTCCTCCAAATGAATCAATTTTATTATCACCCGAGGAACTGTTGGAAGCAAGTAGTCCTTAGAAGTAAGCCCCCCAGAAAGAATGCACTAATAAATTTTTCTTGCCTTTTGGCAAGATCTGTGCCAAATCACTCCCTTCTGCATCAAACAGGCACATCATACATATTTTTGGATATTGAGGCAAAGCAGGCATGAGGTTGCTTGTTTTGATTTAATAGCCAAAAACTGTCAGCTTATTTTTCCCCACTATCAGACATTGTAGAAATAATACATATTTTGAAGACCTTTGCCTTTTCATGAACGCAGTATTTATTTGTACCACATGCTTAATGAGTATGCTGAAATACAATAGGCTACAGGCATTCATTATTTTACATTCCTTTCCTGTAACTAGGTGGTTAGATGAATTGATTGGTAAATGAGGAATTGTATATAGTATGTACATTGTAATATTCAGAACAAAGAAATGTTCAAAGAAAACTCCAACTTGATGACTTTGTTTTTATTTGTAACTCTTACATGCAGTACTTTAACGTATAACAGAACATAAAACTATAGTATGTGCTGTACAGTACCATCAGCAAAAACTACAGTACTGTATAAACAAGGTGCACTGTACCAAAAAGACTTTGAGGCTTTATAAACAGGATGTTCCTGAACTGTACCAAAACAAACAAACAAACAAACCAAAAAAAAAAAAAAAAGAGTTGTAAGTCTAAATAGTGTGCCTAGATCCAAACTGTCATTAAAGAGGTAGATTGTTAAACAAATAATATCTGTATTTTTAGTGGGAGGAATGGAATTAGCAGATGACGGCATATGATACAGGAGAAGCAGAAACCTAGTTTGGTGTACTGGTAGGAAGAAGTCATTATTAGAAGTATTTCCAGTTCACTATAAAATATTTGAATTAATCCATTATACTTGAAAAGGAAACTCATTTGATTCATAGTCTCTGGGAGAATTAATCTGTTAGTTTCAGAGTGACGGGGTGACTAGATGTATGGTTTGCATCTTAGGTTTGTTTATTGTTATGATTTAACTCTTTAAAATGTCTCCCAAGCTGCATGTCTTCAGAGGTGGGGCTTTCTGAAGGTGACTGGATCCTTAGGGTCCTAACTCCTCAATGGGTCAGCACACTGACGAGTTTGTAGCTGATGGGCTATTAGGAAGTGGATCCAGGTGGAAGAGCTGAGTCATGAGAGAGATGCCTTCAAAGAGTGCAGAAGTTCCTTCTTTAACGACATGCCTATTTAATGAATGTTCAGACTTATGATCCCTCTTTTTTTCTTTTTGTACAGTTCTGTATACCTTGTTGATACAGCCTAAATCTCTTTTTGGTACAGTATACCTTGTTTATACAGTACTATAATTTTTGCTGATTGTACTGTACAGTGCTGTAGTTTTATGTTCTATTATAGAGTACCGCATGTAAGAGTTATGCAGGTAAAAGCAAAGTCATCAGGCTACAGTTTCCTTTCACCATTTCTTTGTTCTGATATTGTAACGTACATGCTGTGTACAATTCCTCACTTAGCGACCTTCATTTAACGACCTAGTCACAGGACAAAACTCAACCATTAAAGCAAGGGTTGCCTGTATCTCTTCTGGCTCTTCCGGCTCTCTCTGTGCTTCCAGGCTGCCCTGAGGTGAGCTGCTTTCCTCCACCATACCCTTTAGCTGGGAAGTTTATGCCTCTGACTGACCAACCTGAGGGTGCAAACTCTAAAACCAAGAACCATAAACCTTAATTAAGGCTTTTATCCTTTGAGCTGCTTATGCCAAGAACTGTGTTCCAGCAACAAAGGTAACTAATACCTTCACTGTTACATTGTTCTTCGGCTTTCCAAGCTTGGCAGCTGTGGCTAGTAGAAACAGACTTTGTAACCTTTGTTCTTTTGTGTGTGTATGCAGCACCCGGATACTCTTTCTTTAAAGTAAATTCAAAACACACTGTGGGAATGATACCATCTCGTCTCTTGTCTTCTTTCCAAGTGTTTTATTAATTGCCTCTTCTCAAGTAATTTACCAGTAAGTTGAGAAAATGTTTAAAAAGAGATTAAAAACTATCAAAAGAGACCGAAGGACATTAGTAATCTGCAGGAGGGAAAAGCTCTACCTGGTAAAAATACACGGAAGATGGTACAAAAGAAGACATATTTTCAGTACTAATACTAACAGAAATAAAACAGCCTTTCTTTTTTCTGCTGCTGTTTAAGTAGTACCTGGACCCACAGCTGTCTGAGTTTAACTGGAGGAAGATGGGGATCTGCAGTAAGGTGTTTTCAGTGGTGTTAGTGGCCTAAAGTAATGACATTTTATTTCTTATTTCCTATTATACAATCCCTCTCATATACATATGTATGCACTGATGATTAGACGTGCTAACTTGGAATAGACTTTGAGAGTAAACCACAGAAAGGATATTTAACCTGAAAAGACAGGCATACGAGGGCTGTAAGGGCTGAACCAAGACCTCTGGTTCTTACTCCTGCATCTTATAGAAAGAGGAAACATTTGCTATTCCCAAACCTAGTTTTCCTGTTTTTCTTCCAGTTATATTCTGACTGTTCACCTATGTGTGTAATATTTCATTGCACCTGCACACGTACTTTAGTACGAAAACACCTTTCACTGTAGTAACCTTTTGGCTCACCCACAGACCAAAGGTTGATAAGCTGTGGTGTTAACGTATCAGTATCTAGCAGCTCTTTAACTGCTGGATTCGTCTACAAATGCTGCATAGTTATTTCTTAATTATTTGAGTTTTTATAAGGTATCTATCAAATTGTACTTATTTTGCCCCTCTCTTACTTGATTCATTGTTAAACTGCTTTTCTCCCTCTCCTCTATATCCTCTTCTCTACTCAGGAATCTTATTTTATTTTATTATTATTATTATTTTGGTACCAGGAATCGAACTCAGGACCTTGTGCTTGCCAGGCAGGTGCTTATGCCACTGAGCTATATCATCGGCTTTATTTTATTTTTTTAACTGTGCTGGGAAAAAAACCCCAGAGACTCATGCACTCTGCCTCTGAGCCATACTCCCAACCTTGCAGTCAGGGCTTGTCACTATCTAAAGAGACTGGCTTAAAGTAGCTTTCAATTATGACACACATAAAATTCCATTTCCTATATTATACTTAATTTCTTTTTTTTTTTTTTTTTTGCCAGTACCAGGAATTGGAACTCACGACCTCATGCTTGCCAGGCAGGCGCTGTGCTGCTGAGCTAAATCCCCAGCCAATTACTTTTTAAACAAATATTTTTGCAATAATCCCAAAAGATTTTGGGAAATTAAAACAGTACTTTGACCCAACTTCACATGTGGATCAGCAATCATTCTATTTCTCAAACACACACACACACACACACACACACACACACACAGAGGATAAAGCTGGACATTTTAATCAAATATTAAATCCATCAAGAGATTAAAACTTTCTTTACTTCATGGTTTTTCTGCTTTCTTGTATATGTCTCATCCCCCCATTCTCCTTCCTTTTAACCTTTCCTTACTTCCTATATAGGAAAAGACATTCTTTAGTACTATTTAAAGTTTTAAAAAAACTTCCTTAATTTCATCATACTTGAGCAACCATTCATAATACTCAATCTTTTAAAATACACATTAAAATATTTTGTCTGTATCAATGTCTATAGCCATATGTACACACATATATAGAAATCTATATAATATTTAGCAAAATAAAGTGTTGGAAGCATCACTCCCTATCAAAATATTTTAAATTGAGATGTCATGGTTTGTTAATATTCTCGCAGTGTGTGTTTCTCTTGTAAGCAGTATTTTGCTTAACCCAAACTGCAATTCTTTGTATTTTAGGGGACTTTAAACCACTGCCTGTAGGCCTTTTTTAGCCTTAAAGTTTATGATGATTAGGGTCTCACTAA